CCGCCGGCCTGGCTTGGGATCCCCGGCTCTGGGCGGGGAGCTGCCCCAGCGCCCACCCTTCCCCGCTCCCTGCCGGCGCCAGGGGAAGGAGGGTCCCCGTCCGCTCCTCCGCGGCTGTGCAGCCCCTCTGCTAGCTGTCTGCCTGTGCCAGAGCCCCTCTGCTAGCTGTCTGTGCTAGGGCCTGTGTTGTTCTGGCATACCGAGCCACCCTTCCCCGCTCCCTGCCGGCGCCAGGGGAAGGAGGGTCCCCGTCCGCTCCTCCGCGGCTGTGCAGCCCCTCTGCTAGCTGTCTGCCTGTGCCAGAGCCCCTCTGCTAGCTGTCTGTGCTAGGGCCTGTGTTGTTCTGGCATACCGAGCGCTCCCGGAGAGCTGAACACGACGGGGAAACTCGATTGTTTAGGAAGAATGGCTTTTTGGAAAGATGAAAAGGCACACGTTGCTAAATTGTGGTGACGGCTGAAGATGGCCCGTGAGTTCTTTGACAATAAAACAAGCAAAAAGAGGGAACTTGCTTAAAGTTTTCAGCTCAGCATAAACCGAAATAATGGGATGAAGTCAGACAGGGAGAAGTAGGAACATTTTCTGTGTGTGGAGCAAGATCCTTTTTGTAATTTATCCTAGGAGATGATTTAAAGTCTGCCAAAAAAATCTAGTCTCAGTCTCTTGAAAAGAAGAAAGTAAATGACTTCTGCTGTCCCTGTCCATAGCGCACAGCTCCTTCAGCATGAGGAGTCGAAAATCATCCCTATTTGAAAGGCCATGCTGGTTTGCAACCTCGGAGCTACTCTGCCACTGTCACCCAGAGGACCTTTTCAGTGTTACAGTCTTCCTGGTGCTGCATGCCATCCCTGATGGATTTGGACTGTTTTCATCTAACTCTGGTATCTTCCATTTTTGTGCTAAATCTCATCTTAGTTACTCAGGTATTCTTAAATGCAGGTTTCTCGTGGTTTGGTTTGCCTGGTTTTTTGTTTTGTTTTTGCTTGATACTGTTTCCCAGTTCAGTGTTGTCTTCCTGTTTAATTAGTTCACTGTTAAAAGATGTGTGTCAAATTATCCCAGGCACCACCCTTCCACTTAATATTATTGCCACTTTCATAACCCTACAACTTTCAATTCATTTTCAAAACACGTGA